TGCTGAAATAATTGCTGTAAGTGCCAACAATCTGCCTTCAGCTATAATATGATTTAAAACTTTTAGGTGGCAAAATCAACTATGTAATTGAGTGAGAAAATTTTGTCCAAAGAGGATGTAGACTCACTTATGATATGAGAATTTAACAACAGTAAGACTGCTGATTAAACCAACATTTTGAGGAAGCCAAGATGCATTAGATTATTAACTTTTTGGTTGTGACTACGGTCCAGGGTTTGATCCCAATGTTATCGAATGCATTTATGCCCGCAAGGGTCAAAACCTGGTAACTGAATAGGCAAGTCATTTCACTCGATTCGTAATACTAGGCAGTATTAAGGGCGTGGGGTGCGCGATAGACTTACCTCCACGTGGTGCATCCTGGGCAACGCATTCTCATATGGCAAAAAAATTCTATTAACCGGAATTTGACTTCAATTTATTGTAATTAGCTTGAAACGAAGCTATAAGAGAAATCGCTGTCTTCAGGGTGAATCACAACTTCTACAGATCCTTCAGTGGAATGCTAGAGAGAAGTCACAGGACAAATAGATCCAAATCCAGGAAATCCTACATACCAATGATATTGAAAGCAGAGTACGGGGAAGCAAGAAGACTGCTAATGAACTGCTATTAATTAACCGCTATAAATGTAAGAAGCAAGAAGACAGCTAATGAATTGCTATTAATGAACTGCTATAAATGTAATTAAGCCAGAGATACTGGGAAGCAAGAAGACAGCTAAATGAACTGCTATTAATTAACTGCTATAAATGTACCCCCCTTCATGAACGCTATTAATTAACTGCTATATATGTACCCCCCACCCATGGGGAAAGCTGAAGTCAAAGTTTAAGAGCTAATGATAAATATCACAAAGCCTGGCATTTGAAATAATAATAAGTATAAAGTGCGTAAAAAATGTTACGAGAAAATGTTTTTCATGTAAATGTAGAATTACATTTTTTAATGTTTCTTTTAAATTGCAGGCACTTTTACACCAGTGCAATTGTTCTCCAATCCCCTTGAAATCTGCCCTCCAATCGAACTTAACTTCTTGAGTACCTCTCTAAATTTTCAAATCCCAATCGCATGCACAATGTTTCCTTTCTATGCAATAAAATTATTACATATTGCTTTCCACTTGTTATAAGGCAATATATTCTCCATTTACACAGTATTTTAAATTGGCATGATAGAAAGATAAAATCGATTTTTTTCTCGAAATCAAGTCATTATTGGTTTTTCTATAGAAATGTAAATCAACGTTAGTCACGGGAAAGCATTTGAAGAATAGAAGGAACAGGTAAGTTCAATAAGGAATGAAAGTGGGCTTGAATTGTGGAAGCAGGGAGGTATCTACTCTCACAAGGGGTATAGTTTACGCAGAAATGTCCAAAAGTTGATTTCTATGGGATCATATCCATGGCATTTCGAGCTTATTTACTGGTTCCTTCAGCCTGCTTGTCAGTTTATGGAGACTTTAGTTATTGATTTCTCTTTAAGGTAAAAATAAGAGCAAATAAAGTGAATCTAACATGATTTTATTAACTCAGAGCAGTGTTCAAGGTGAATGAAAAACATAGTCAAGCAAACCTGCTTTACATTGATGAGAATGTCAGTAAAAAATGAACTCACTTTATTAGCCACTGTTTTGTGAGACAGTGTTCACTCCTGCGTAATACATTGAGTGACCTTAAATACACACCTCATGACCAAATAAAATGAATAATTTGGGGGCAATTTTCGAGTGAGTTTAAAAATTGCAATTGTCTTTTCCGAGTTCGTTTAATCCTGTCTGGCTTTTCAGACACAGTGTGGTTAAAAAGCCTCTGCCATTTCCAATAGCTTTATTGAAAATCAATCATTCTAAATGCCCAAATATCTTCAGTAAACTTTAATTTATGAATGTATCAACTAAATTAATAATTTAACTGACTTATTGAAATAATCCACCTTGGTATTTGTCGAAAGCTTCTTAGATCGCCTAGAACTCTGCCAAGGGATCTTGGACAGCAAATTTCGCGCGATCGTTTTGCATTGAGCGTGTTTCAAGACGTGCGAACTTTATTAATGCTAATTATACCTCAGCGCCATCCAGAATAGTGCGTCTTACTCACTTCAAGAAGGAAAGAAAAGGGGGCATAGTTTGTCGACAAATTTCCGCAGTTATAAGGAATTTCCGCAGAGACAGTGTTTTAGTTTTAGGATGGCAAGTTGTGACTAGCAATGCCAAGTGTCTGCGTTAATTACTTTCCTTTCAAATCATCTTGCGCTAAGAAATAGAAACAGAAAGAGAAGACTGTCTGCTTGAAAAGCCATTAATCATCTCCCTGTTAACAGGCGTTGAAAATGTAGACGACCAACCTTGACCTCAGGTATGAAGTCAACACTAGCTATCACCATCGAAGAAATGTTCATGCCTGTGTTTTTATTTTATTTTACTTTGGCTTGCGAGTGGTCAGCTTTAACTAAAGTCTTAAAACGAGTCAAGGCGGATTCTGTAATAAAAGCACATTCAAATTAAGTGAACCGATGCGACTAGTATTAAAGCACGCTATAATCGCAATACAATTTAAGATACGATTGAATTTTTGATCTAAATAAAGTCAGTCCCAGATGGTGGAATTAACTAGAAATTTGAGTAATTTACCTCTCTCCTGGAAACGTGACAGGTAGTAGCAGACAGCCCATTGGGTTGTTTTTTGAAATGATATTTGAACTTGGGGTGTACCATAGACTTACCTCCACGTGGTGCACTCTGGGCAACGTATACTCATACTGCAAAAAGTCTATAAGCAGACAGTTGACTTCCGACTTCAACATTCCATCAACCCACTGTATGTCATATTCGACTACTTCCACAGTACTCTTCTCACCTTACCGTTTACTCTACCTTTGTGTCGGTCTCTTTTACATCTTTGAACCTCTCTTCTGCTCCCCTCTAGAATTTTTCTTACTTTGATGTTCCTTCCACTCTGTGAAGCCTGAAGTCAACTAAAGAGCTAATAATAACCATCAAAACGCCTGCCATTTGATATGAATAAATAAATATTTGAACTTAACAATTTCTCCGCTATTTCTTAAAGCACTCCAAACTCTTGCAAAGAACCCGGGGTTTGTGGCGATCTTTGCATCGATCCACAGTTCCGCTTTACTCCCTCCGACCTCAAACACCCAGTGCCCGGACCTTCTTGTGGTAAAATAGTGCATTCCAAAATATTTTTCCCTTTTGAGCTCTTTAAATGTTTTTTTTTCATCACGCCTCATCATCCATAAATGTATAAAAGGGTCCAAATTCTTCTTCTATTGTTTGGATTATTAAGAATGCCTCATTTGTTTGTTCCTAATTGCTCAATGGAAATAATTGTGGTAGCTATGATCTTCAGGTATGCACTCGAAAAGATTTTCCAGAACTTGCCCGTAAGCTCACATGCTCGCTATCCATCAACGTTCGTCCACTTAAATGAAAAACTGAACGTATGTGTAATGTCTGGCTAATAACGAGGTGATAAAATCCGAGTTTCTCATAGGAGGGAACCACGATACTACCTTCTTTTCTATTATTGTATTAAAATGTTTTTCTAAGGGAATTTATCGGTAAAATGAGTTCCGCCAATCGATATCTATTAACGCTCTTTTCACGTTAAACACATGGCGATAGTTTCGGTTTTTTGAAAGTAAAACGAGAAGGGCCTATTGCAATTGCGATTCTTCATGGCTGAGCAATCCACATTCAGCAGTTCAAATTCAAGTCGTGTGTAGACAAATGAACAAGGGGATTGATTTTTATGCAACCGGGCAATATTAAGTACATTAAAACTCTGCACAATATTGCATTCATGCGGACTCCCTTCCTAATTCGACTGGGCCAGAATTTTACAGAAGTTCTGAGCTATAGTAAAGCATTAGTGCAAAGTTCGCTTTACTAGAATCGTGTTTCTTTTAAGAAAAAACCCATATCTAAGTTAGAGACTCAAATTTGGCTGGAAGTTCAAAAGCATCGTCTTTATTCGAGGATAAGTGAAATGGGGCACCTAATTTTGACCTTTGTTCTCTTAGAGATGTGGGAGGAGGGGGTGGGGGGGGGGAGAGAGTGGTTAACTTCATCAACTAGTCACATTTAAAAATGAATCTATCGCTGGCTTACTTCAACTACCGCAGGAATCATTGTTGGGCATCTAAAAACGTAAGTTTGCCATAAAAATATTAGTTATTATTGAAATTACACATTGATTCAAACTTAAGTCTTAAAAACTAGAATAAAACCACCTATTAGACCATTTTTTCAACGGAAATAGTAATATTTTCATTAAAATTTTGTATGCAAGTTAATTTAATCCTGTCTCATCAAGGTACTAACAGTTCAGATTAATTTTATTTGACAGTAAATGAAGATTATAAAAAAAGAGGGAATTGTATTTTAAAAAATATATATTTTAAGATGAAATAGATAATCGAGAAACCATCCATAATTGAGATTTGGAGGGAATTATTCACTTGTTTCAACCACTTTTTTCCCTTGTTGTACAACAATTTGAGTAATCGGTTTTTGAACGAAATGTTCTACAACTAAGTCCTGCTGTTCTACCTGGAATTGAGTCATGTGATACTAGATTATTTTTCAAATATTTGAACTATAGTTCAATATAGTTCATATAGTTCGATTTTCTTTAAAAATGCACATTTAAAAGCCTCATAGGAATTTTTGATTTGTGTTTGAAAATTAGTAGAAGGAAAGTCATCTAGGTTCCACTGCCAACCATTCAGTGTAATCAGATGATTGATAAGTCCCGAAAATCTCCGGTATGAACTCACTTCGAAACGCAAGAGTCGAATTATGCAATGCGCAAGTAAAATGTTTTGGTCGTGATGTACTTTCATTCGTGTATACTTGAACACTTTTCTCTTGAACAAATTTGCTCATTTTCAAAATTTGGATTCATTGCATCCTGTTGAAGCGACCGACCAATCATATTGAATTCAATAATATTTCAATGCTATATAGAGATGTTTCTCCATTGTGGTGTGATATATTCTTGCTCTAAATGGTAAATGTCATTCCAATAGCCACTTACCTAATTTGCAGTGATTGTGAGGATGAGTTGAAACATTTAAGCATTGTTCGAAGTGGGTGAAATGGGGCGGGAAGGAGGAGGAGGAGGAGGGGGAAGAGGATGAGAGGAGACGAGGGCGAGGGGTGTTTTCCTCTCCAAAAGTTTGACGCGACATCAATCATACTCATGGGAAATGGGGCGGCGAAAAAGGCCGGTTAGAGAGCCAGAGAAAAATGTGGGGAGAAAATTTGTTCGATCGTTAGGGGCTGAAAATTGCTTAACTTCTGTTATATAATCGTTCTAAACAACTCTCAAACTACTTCAAAATGCATCTAATGGCTCTTCTCTCATTTTTGGCCAGTTTTATTGTCAAATCACCTCCCCCTTCTTCTGAATTAGTCTTAATTAAGTGGTAATAGATTAGCCAATTTGCGGAATACAAATTCACGCTCCATGTAGGGCCCTAAATGGTGGAAGAGGAATGGTTGTCAAGGCGCTGACAGAAAGGATCCCGTTGGGAATTCTCGCCGCATAGCAGTGGTTTAATGTTTTGCCAAGTCCTCTCAGGTAAGTCTATGGATTTGCTAGACTACTATTCAAATTCTAACTTCTGAATGCAAGGTAAAGTCCCAAAAGTTCGCACATAAATAGCTGGCTTAGACAACTAAAAGCAGACGCGTCACATGTTTTCAATCATGAAACCGGTGAAATTTGAATACTGGAAGCAATTAGGAAATCTAAGCCCTCTCTTCTGGAACGACACATTTGGCCGACGAAGGTTGGACGAAAAAACCCTGGTGGTTTAATATTCTTTTCTTGTCTTAGGGAAGCTTGCTAAAAGTATGCGGTCACAAAATTACAAAATTCTTCGTCGAATACTTGGGATAAAAATGCATGGACTTACAAAATGCCAAACGAAAAACGATTTCAAAGTGCAAGCAATGTTTTGGCAAGTATTTGTCTCAAAAGTGAATGTAGACAATGGACACAATCAGTGTTTAGAATGCTATGATAATCAATTAAAGTATCTTGCCTTCTCTCCCAGTCATAAACCCGAGATTTCTAACCTTCTCACCGTTTTCACCATTCTTCCCCGTTTTCGAAATTTTAGATTAGTCGCCAGGACTAACACTCTCACTGTTTCAGCTACACATGCGACCTAAGGTCATCTTAGCGATAGTGGGAACTCAAATGAGGTGAACATGGGCTTTCAACAGTCCATATCATCAATAATACTTGGATAGCGAGAAAAGTCATGAAGTAGACAAATAGAGGACAAGGCCATAAACTATGAAATGCACAAAAAATCAATTTCTTATTCTCGAGTCACAAAAGGTTTATTTAAAGCAGGTTTATGCAGAAGCACTGATATACATATTGGTCCTACGAATATGGTCATTATGGCCAGACAATTACAACCAGATCCGAACCTACTAGGAATGATATTATTTTGATTCCTTGAACTACTTTTGTTGACCTCATTCCAGTCTTTTTTCCCCAAAACTGGTGTTTTGTCTACCCGGATATCCCACGTGTTCTAAATCTCCATTTTTGGCTCTGTCTTGGGTAATAAGAATACCAAATATTAAAATGTGTAACAGATCAAAATTGATGTTGAATCAAAATATAATAGATTGGACTTAGCTGATTTTCTTATTTTTAAAACTTACTATTTATGATCTAAAGTGTTTCTATTTACTTCATTAATAATTTGTATGTCTTGATTTCATGTTTCTAACAGTTAAACTACTAATAAATTAAATAGTACCGTCTCGAAACCTGTCAATAATAAGTCTCTATATTACAAGTTAATAAATTGCTTGTAGATGCATAATTTGCTAATTATAATATCAATAAATTTTCTAGCTGGTCATATTTATCTCTAAGCAATGGATATGATGATGTAATTACTTTAAGCCTGGGTGGTTGTTAATTAAATATCATTTACATTATTGTTTTCAGAAAGAGAATTAAAATTTACTAATGAAATTGACATAATAATATCTGATTTGATTAGCACAAAATGGTGATGAAAAATAGAAAATTGTGATTGTATTTAATTTGGAACTTGGCGAATTCGCAAATTTTAAAATCCCTGGGTAACTATACATTTTATCATTTATTATAATGTTTATTTAATGATAACTCATAAGGTTCAGTTCAAATTAGTTAAATTTGACAAATGCTTGAAAATTATTCCAACTCTTTCCCACAGAACAAATAACGGATTACCTTTAATTTTTCAGCATTATTTTGGATTTACAATGCCCTATATATGCTAAATAAGTTTTACGAGTTATAGTTTTTTAATGAAAAGGTGATAAATTACATTGAATTTTTAATTTGTACAATGCAAGATCTACAGCAATGAGCAATAGCGCATACTGATTGGTTGACATCGTCGCACGCGAATCTACACACACTTCTCTGATTGGCTGACACATCAACGCGGACAGTATATAGTGATCAGAGGTTATGATTTTTTACATCAAGCAAGAAGACAAGATGGTACTTGGAGTTAGAGTCTTCCTTATTCTTATCGCAGTTCTAGCCAGCAATCGTATTCACTGTCAGTTGACATGGAAAGGAGGATTGAAGTACTTAGTCAGCCCCCCGAATTTAAAAAACTCACAGACCCAACAAGACAATGGATATGATATGAGTGACAACGGAATCAATGCTTTTCCTCGTGAAGCCCTTAACTTGGATAACTTAGTTCAGAAACCTACTGGCAGATGGTGGTAAGTAACTATTGATTTTTCGTTTCCTTCTAACGTCTTCACTGTAATCCACGTGGAATACAAACTAGAACCGCATAGCCCTTAATTTTCCTAAATTGAAACAATTGTAGACTTTTAAGCATGAAATTTGGTGGAAACCAAACCGCCTCTACTCGTGTGAAAATTCGGTTGTGTTATTCTAAAGATACGACGGTAAATGAGGACGGTTATGTTGCTTGTTTGTTTTAAACAATTGGGTTGAAATGTTAATTATGCTTGACTTTGGAAAAAATCGATAGGTATGCGGAATTTCGTTGGAAGCTTGCGACTATAACGTAGAGGGGTGTTATTTCATTTGCCTTTAAAAGTTGCCTTTAAAGTGGATTTGTTTTAATGAATGTGACGTAGAGAGCACAAAGAAGGAAAGACAATGGGTTCGTGTGAAATTTTCTCACACATGGGCAATAAACCTCTGTGCTCATTGAACGTGTGCACTCATTTGACCCTCATAATTCATAAAAAGAAGAAATCACAATCCAATAGATGATTAGGCTATTGTAATTAATTTTTGAGGTAGTCGGATAATCTAGTTGTAACATACGTTTATCTAAGACGATTCTTTATATCAATTGGTAAATTTAACATTTTATACTAAAACCGCCATAATTAGAATTCTAGAACTCTCTCTCTCTCTTATGCGATTTGATCATTATATTGTGTTTTTTTACTACATCAGGTTAGATTCATTGGCCCGGCTTCTGCACAACCATCCCCTCCATCTTTCGAAGTACGTTCGAGACGTTTCTATTCCTTCGAGAGAGTCACTGAACTATGAGACACCAAAAAGCCTTATCGGTCTTCCACGGCTTCAATCCAGAGAGGTAAATTTATGAATTTTTGGCAAGTTAGTGGAGAGCACAAATTTTTCCCAGACATAAAGGTGGATGGCGCGCTAGGATTATATGACTTCTACAAGGAGTAATAAAGAGCACGCATGGCGGTTGTAAGGAGATTTCGCACTTATGGATAGATTTAATTGGTTGCGGAAATATGTGAGTCGGCAGCATAGTGTGACAGACTTCGATGAATTGGCTCATCCACCTTGGAGAAGATAACATTATGCATGTACCATATATTGTGCATGAGAAGAGGGATTTATACACGTGGGGGATCGAAGTGAAAATGTCATGAATGCTATAAACTGCAACATGCTAATAAAGTCAACTTTGTGAATAAAATTTTTGCAATAGCACTTATTTCACATTTTTATGTTAAGACTCTACTGATATACTTCAGGTTAACGGATGGCACATGTACGATCAAGTCTGGGCAGTGCACAAGCTTCGTCAACTCCTAGCCAGTTACCGCCAATGGTTTTCTCCGCGACAATGGAGGCAATTTCTACATCACTCTCCCACTAAGTCCCAACTTCAACAGGATCAAGAAGAGTCCGTGCACTTAGAGTTACTTGAAGCCGCAGTGCAAGGAATTCGAACAGCCCTCACTGAATGTCAATACCAATTTCGGAATGAAAAGTGGAATTGCAGTGAAATCCTCTCTGATAAGAACGCCCTTTTTGGTAATATACTTACAAAAGGTAAGTGACCTATCAGATTCTAATGAATTTATATAATTATAAAGACGTTTATATAAAATTGTTCATATTGTAGGAGTGCCTGAAACTGCATTCGTTTACGCTCTTGTTAGTGCAAGTATTGTTCGGGCAATCTCAGAAGCTTGTCTTACAAATATTAGAAACTGTCCATGTAATAATCGTGGGAGAGAAACCTTTGAAAAAGTTGGAGATGTGATGAATTGGCAATGGCAAGGATGTGATCACAATATTCACTATGGACGTCGTTTCGGGCGGCGGCTGTTAGATCCGCTTGAAACTGGTGGATTTCATATTCGGTTTCTTATGAACTTACATAATTACAGAGCCGGCAGAAGAGTTGTCTCCGAGAATATGCAACGCTATTGTCGATGCCACGGAACTAGTGGATCTTGCACTCTAAAAACCTGCTACAGAAGAACTCCTTCTATGCGCACAATTGGAAATGAATTGAAAGCCATGTACAACAAAGCCGCTCTAGTAATGAGAGGTACGTTTTTTAACAAATCTAAACTTTGCGTCCTACTTAAAACGTGTTAGTAGCTCTGTATTCTTTCAGATAACACCCTTCCAATCAGTTGGGGGTACCATGGAAGAGGCAGCTCAATTGTACATTTAAACCGGTGGAATAATCAACGAACTCTTAGGGAAGTAAGTCATGACTCATTGCTCTACCGTGGTGGATCGTCACCCCGTCCATCTCTCCTCAAGGTCACTTTCGACCGTTCCGGTAGAGATCTAAAGCCAACAACTAAAGAGCTTGTCTTCTACGAGCAGTCAACAAAAGAATTATTCTGTAATGCAAATCCCAACCTACATATTCTTGGCACAAAGTTTAGGACTTGTAATTCAACATCCACTGGACCTGATAACTGCAATACTCTCTGCTGTGGACGAGGATATCGAACGAGACATTACTACGCGCTGGAGAATTGTGAATGCAAATTTGTCTGGTGTTGTCGAGTAGAATGTCAGAAGTGTTTAGTGCTTAAACGACAAGAAACCTGCTTATAAAATAATAATAAGCATTAAGAGGCTTCTTACCATTAACCAAATTGCAGAGAATGATCTTTATTTGAAACAATCAATACACTCGATAGCACACATCGAAATGCATTCATTACCAAATCCCAAGCCTATCTTATACAGACCCCCCCCCCCCCCCCCCTCCCCCCTCCAAACCCTCTTTTTGTATTTCCTGTTCCCCTTCCCATATTATGAAGCAATCTTAGTACTTAAGACACTCGTGCAGACTTATGTTTATTCGTAATTGTATTTACCCACTTGCATTGAACATATCACAACACAAGAGATTATGAAACCTCAAGTACATTTAATTTTACTAAAGTTACACATGTTATTTCCTCTAACGCTTTAATTTAATTGAAAAATTGGATGTTCTGGGAACCAATCCATCCTAAATTACTCATCTACCACGAATCGGTAAATATTTATCTTTATTTATTTATGTCAAATGGCAGGTGTTATGATAATTATCATTAGCCCTTTAGTGGACTTCAGGCTTTACAGAGTGGAAAACGTCAAGAGGGGGATGGGAATGGAAGAGTGTTTCAAAGATGTAAAAGAAACCGACACAAATGCAGAGAAAAGGTAAGACGAGTATTGTAGAAGTGATAGAATATGGCATAGAATCAGGTCATAGTAGTTTGAAATGAGAAGTAAACTGCCAGTTAATAAATTTTTTGCCGTATGAGTATACGTTGCCTAGTGTGCACCACGTGGAGGTAAGTCTATCGCACACCCCAATTGGTAAATATATGCCTAATGAATAAGTTGACAATATCGAAAGCTCTTTAAAAGGATGAAAACTGGTGATGAGTAAATTGAGAAGGACTTGGCACCAAAGATAGAGAATAATTAAATCCATCGTTTAATTGGACTCACCAGATATCTATCTCAATGGGAAAAATGAGTGCAGAATTCCTTATTTGTCCGTTTCTTTAATTACGAGACGGCAGAGCAAATGCTGGAAGTCGCGTATTTTCCCACTCACCACGTTTCTTCGAAATTGTGGCTCTAATTTGCAAAAGCAAAGAAGGATCCCAGCAGTTCCTGGACCTAAATCACCCTGATATTGTGATTGGTTAAGGATGATAGTTTGGAAACTTTTATTTATATCAAATGGCAGGCTTTATGATAGTTATCATTAGCCCTTTAGTTGATTTCAGGCTTCACAGAGGGGAGGGAGCACCAAAGGGTAAAAAAATTCAAAAGGGGGGGGGACAGAAGAGTGTTTCAAAGATGTAAAAGACAGACACAAAGGTAGAAAAAGATGAGGTGAGTACTGTGGAAGAAGTCGAATATGACATACAGTAGGGGTGATGGTAGTTTGAAGTCAGAAGTCAACTGCCGATTAATAGAATTTTTTGCCGCATGAGTATACATTGCCCAGGATGCACCACGTGGAGGTAAGTCTATCGCACACTTATATTTTTAAAAAATCTGTCAATTAGTTCTGGACTCTATAGTTGGAAACGGTCATTCTGAGTGTTGGTCTTAATTCAAATTACCCAACTGGAAGTCATGAGTGGATTTTGATGGCAAATCGTATTTAGTTTTCTTTTCATCGGCCGAGATCTCTGAAAAACTTGGGAATATGAATGGGCCAGTTACTAAGGCGATACCTTCATTCTGATTGGTTCCTTAAGCTCAATCTGCTTTTGGATTGCGCTGTAGATTGGTGGCGCACACTTGCTGGGATATGCTTTGTCGTGTCCAATTGGGGTATTCCCTTGCCTGGAGTATAGAAATAAGATTATGGGCGCTCTGTTGATGGGTTCATTTCATAATAACAATTATCAGTCAGAAAATTTAATTTGCAAAACAGAGCCCCTTTTGCATATTTTTGTAGAGATTCCTATCGTTGAGCACTAGTTTAGCTATAATTATGTCCTGCATTATAGATATAATTGTGGTGAGCATTTTGGAATTGAGCACACATGAAGCACAATCATTCCAATGACGCACTAATAATGAATTGTCACGATGCCTATCTACAATTACCCGGGTCCCAACAGAGTGAACGACGAGTTAAAATTTTTGTCAATAATAATTTCTCACAAAAGATTAAATTGAGCTTTTCTTAATAGTGGGCATAATTCAAAGCCAATCCTTATTAGAACTTGGTTGAATATAGAGCATTCAGCTCATTTCTACTCCCCTCTCAATTTCAAAATAGCGCACTTTATGTCAGCAGTTGGGCGACTTTAAATTAATTACCCACTTCTTTCTACTCTGTCTGTCCACTCTCCAAATGGACCACCTCCATTTACCAGTTCTCCAAAATTAGCAATCGAATGATGAGCACGCACGTCTACCAATTCATCGGTGCTCACACTTTGTCAATTATAGTCATTCATTGCCCACTATGTTGACCATACACTTTTTCCCTGCCTCCAATCGAGGCATTTTGAACGTTCCCCTGTTATTAATGACCACCTTTTAAAGTTGCAGGACTGATGAATTCCCGCGTTCCTCCATTATAAACATCCACTCACGAACTCTGTTTTACGTATATCTCCAAGTGACGTTGATTAAACATCATTAAACTAAATAACCCCCGGCTTTACCCGATCTCTCCCTCAAAAGGCTTAAAAAAAACAACATCCTTTAAAACAACCTCTCTATATTTCACATCAAAATTTTTAAATCTCACGATCTCCTCCTTTTGATTACAGTAACTCGATTTCGAAAAAAAAATTTAGGGGAAAGAGACGGGGTAAGGAGAATAAGACACGATTCTGTTTGTGTTGTAAGCTGAAATAGCGGTGGTGAAGCGTAGAGAGAAACAAAAATGGCTATTTACAAGGTAGCAAGTACTACTTTCAAACAATAAGTAGTAGATGGCACTCGCGCGCGCATAATAACATATCTATACGTGGGACAGACATACACATGCACACATTTATGGGACAAACGGACAGAGAAAAAATAGGACTCGGAGAGAATGAAAATAGATGGTTTGGGGTCTAAATGGCATTGATTGGCCGAGACAGAAGCATTCTCTCAGCTTGGGGAATACTGCTCTCGAACCAGCTGGTCCTCTGTGGCAGCATCGGTCACATAGTTGACCATGCTTGGCTCTGTAAGTAATTGGAGATCCTTTTCTGCTATCGGCACGTAGAAAGCAGGTCCGGGAGTTGTAGAGGAGGTGGCTGAAAGATAGAGGATACTATGAACATGCAATATGTCAGCAAAGAACTCCATTAAGCTCTGTTCCATTAAAATAAGCCGTTGCACATCCCATCTCTTCCTGGTTATAAATATATCTAGGCGATGTGATCAACTATGACATTTAACAAACCGGTCAAAAAGCCCTGTTTATCGTAGACAATAACTCATTCTTGAACCTGAAAATGAAATAGGGACAATACGTATAAACTATGTTGAATAAAGGGTGCGCGATAGACTTACCTCCATGTGTTGCTCCTTGGGCAACACGTGTTCGTATGGTAAAAATGAGCATAAATCGGCGGTTGACTTCAAACTACCATGACCCCACTATATGTGGTCATATTCGACCACTTCCACAGCACTCATCTTACCTTTTCTCTGCCTTGGTGTCTGTCTGTCTCCTTTTCATCTATGAATCACTCTTCTGTCTCTCCCTCCCTCTCGACTTTTGTGACTTTGATGTTCCTGCCCTCTGAGAAGTTCGAAGCCAACAAAATTGATAATGATAACTACCATAAAGACTGTCATTTAATATAAATAAATAAATGTAACTAGGAAGTGACTCTTGGGGCAATTATTTCATTTGTCACGTCTTCCTGATCTCCCCTCATCTCCCATTGAACTACTTTCCTTCACCCTTTGTTCATTGTTCTTTATATGGGAAAAAATATTGCATAAATATTTGGCATTGTCGCGAGTCCAATAAAGTATGCCATTAACAGTTGCAATCCAGGAGCTCTTCAGCAAGTGGGCCTCACGCAAACACAAGAGAGTTTGAAAAGTTCACACAGTACAGTGAATTAGTAGTGAAGGTAGGATACCGAATCAATTAACTAGTGACTAGGCACTGAGTGTACCGTGACTGATACCTAGGAACCAGACGTTGATAATTGAACTCTGGATCATTAGGGTATGGCACTTAGCACGTTGACAATAAGGAGTGTTAATTGACCTTGGGAGTAATTACGGAAGCACTTGCCAGGATCCACAGTACTATCGACGAGGAGTAAATCAAGGAGATATTAGCTACTTGAGACGAACATCGACATTATGGCATTATAATTATCGTTTCTTCTGTCCTTAACTCTTAGTATCTCTCATACTTTCAAATATCTTCAACTTCTTTCGCTCCGTCTCGTCTTTCCTATTAAATGACCTCTAAAGTAGCCTTTTGAAAACACTTCCTGTATATACACTAATGCAGCTATAGGCTACATGCAACTGCTGAATAAATCAAGCTACCAATTAGCTTCCGAATATCGTGGACCTTAAATAATTCGAAAACCCAGGACTTAGCTATTGGAAATTACACTCTGGATCCCCAGGGCTAGACAATATTGGCAGTATATAAATATTAAGAGGATTTGATATCTATTGAAAATAAAAGCTGTATGAAGTAATAGATATCGGGCGTGCCGACACTATTTCCCTACTCCACTTAATCCAATCCCATTTCACCCTAATTTAATTGGTTGCTTAACTATTCCTTGTTGTGTTGTCCAGAACTGGAATTTTGAGGGCAGTAAACATCCGACTTTCGACGAACACACATTCATTCAAAGTTGCGGCTTATCAGAATACACTAAGATGGAATCTAAAAAAAACGTTTAGAAGCTTTAGGCAATCTAAATAATTACAAATGCATTGCTATGGGAAACAAAACCGGGAAGGGCTTTAGAACACTCACAATAAGACATACGTCATCAAAAAAGATTTAAAAGCATCATCCAGCATATATTCGAAAGAGAAAGTAAATTTACCAACAGTCGTGGAGGAGGGATCAAATTTGGCGCTTTTAGAAGGAGGTGGAGAGACTGAATTGTTCCATGCGGATGCCACTTGGATGACAGGGGGCGATGCGGTTGAATTGCACGATGAAGTATCTGAGGGACGCTTTTCCAAACGCGATAGAAGGTCAACAGCCATACTAAAGCTGTCTCGACGACCCTCCTGCTCTGGCGAAGCTGATTTTAAAAACTCGTGTTACTTAATATATTTAAGTAAGTGGTATTCTAAATCATAAAATATAGAATCAGGCCATACATCCAAGGACTATTAGGACGCTGAAACTGTCTGAAATCTCACTATTTACTGCTTAGCCCAACAAGCATCGACTTGTGACATCAGTTCAAGTTATTAAATGTGGCGAACTTCCATTATCGTTATGTTAATAATCCAGTTATTCCGTCAACAGTACCCAAAACGGAAAGTTCTCAAATGAAAACCGGAAGAGGTTAAGTGCGTGCTTGCTAGTGGCCATTGTTATAGCTGGGAATTCGACAAAAAAGTCTTGAAAGCTTCTTCAATTAGGCCAATGAATCAATAGGCAACTAAAATTCATCATGTTCACCTCAGAGTAGGAAACAAACCAATCGATGTGAGCAACCAGCCAATTGCAAAGAAGAGGAATTATGACCTTAACCAATGTTGCACGAATTAAGGAAAGCAAAAGGCACTAAAAAATTCAAGTAACTCCCGAGTCAATAAATTCGTGGGAAAAATAGGCGTACCAAAAAAAAATCGAACATGAAACTGAGCAGAAAATCAGTCTTACAAAAAGGTGCCTCTATCTCCTTTGCGTTGGTGCTACGTTTAAGATGTGCTTGGAAGAATTCAGTAATATTAAGATCGAACGAGGTAGCAGAATGTAGTGCCCAGATTATAGAAGCTAAGGGGTGTTAATTGACTCCTAGAAGGGGGGGGGGCGATATTACTATTATTACGCATAACAATATGTAAAACACACGAGTTTTAGGCAAGGATAGCAAACAAACACACGAATTCGGAAAATTGTCAATTAAGTGCTGAAAATGAGAAAACTTCTGAAGGCATCGTGGCATTCACCATGGGATATTGTTATTATTATTATTGTACACAATGCAGTCACAGCCACTCTTGAAAAAAGCCACCACAATTTTATCCACTTGACAAGAAGGCCAGACACCAAACGAGATAAAGCTTCAAGAAAGCAAGTTTATTTCAGGGAGAAAGTAATTCAAACCGCAAAAGGAACCATATAACAATCTTGGTTTCAGTACTAAATCATCCTTCTCTAACATCTTAATCAGTAGCACATTGAAATCTCAACCAGGATACGGCGGAATTTGTTCAAACGATCTAAACAAATTCCTCATCTATGGGCTGTGCGATAGACTTACCCCCATGTGGTGCGAAATAGCAATGTGGGGTGTGCGATAGACTTACCTCCACGTGGTACGCCCTGGGCAATGTATACTCATACGGCAAAAAAGTCTATTAAATGGCTTGGAAACGTGACCTCATACGGCAAAAAGTCTATAAACCGCTGGGCAACGTATACTCGTACGGCAAAAAAGTCTATTAACTGCCAGTTGACTTCTCACTTCAAATTACCATGACTCCAATGTGTCATATTCGATCACTTTCACAGTACTCACCTCACCTTTCACCTACCTTTGTGTCTGTCTCTTTTACATCTTTAAAACACTCTTCTGTTCCCCCCTCTCGACTTTTTGCCACTTTGATGTTCCTCCTCCTCCCCTCTGTGAGTCTCGAAGTCAACTAAAGGGCTAATGATAACTATCGTAAAGCCTGCCATTTGATATAAAAAATAAATTCCTCATCCATTTGCTTTCTGTTTCTTAAGGCGGGAGAGAGATAGAGCAACGCGCAAGATGGGCAACTTTAAAGACAAACACTCACGAAAAGCGTCGCTATCAAGCACACTGATATCCAGAGATTGCGTCAGTGGTGGTTGAGAGGCGGGGATAACGATTCCGTTGGTACCACCACCAATAGTTGAGCACATCAGCGCAGAAGTAGAGAGCGGGTGATGATGATGCTGCTGCTGATGGTGATGATGGTAGGAAGTCAAGGGTTCGCCTGCGACTGCAGTTGACTCATAGTAGCTACCGGAGGAGGAGGAGGTTATATTGTGATTATCAAAGCACGTGGACGATGACATCTGAAGTTAAACGTAATAATAAAGAAATTGAAGCACGATTTAAATGGTCAACAATATGAATGATTTTCATTTTAAAATGTTTAATAGCCTCTATACCCCTACCCCTCCCCCCCCCCCCCCCCCCCCCCCCCCCAAGGGAAATTAGTGAGCTGTAAAGTTGTCAATTGCAATCGACGAATTTTCGCATATACAAATAAACAATGCTATTGTTCTATTGGTGTGATCACCGTTCCGCAGGCTTAGCCATCAACGAGGGCCCAAAGTGTCAACTTTTAGATAAACCAAGTCTTAAAAAATTAGTAGTAGTTGTTAAAACTCGATATGAGGAGAGGTGGTCCATTTTCATCATGGAGTCACTAATCAATTGCCAACTTGGAGAGGACAATTAAAATGGCACGTGGTGTTGCCTGTAATCTCATATAATTATGCTATTCTGGTCATTCGAAGAAAACGAGACGTCGACGGTTCTATAGTTCCAAAGATGATGACCATTTTCATGGAGCAGAGAGATGCCGAAACCTAGGTTTCAAGACTGGGACCCACCTTTCTCACCTTGTGGGTAAATATTATTTTGATAACTGCGTACCCACTGGCGAAATAGCATTTGATACAAATCATTCTTCAGTTGGAGGAAATATAGAATACTCACCTGATTCAACAACCGCTACCCCATCTTCTAACTTTGACCATTTCCATATCCCCCCCACTCGACTAATTGAAAGTGGCTAGTGCAATGTTTGATTACGGAAATACAAGAGAAAACACGCATCCACTTCGCAAAATTGACGTCCAGCAAAACTGCAATCCAAACTTGGCCTCAAAATTAGGCTCGAACCTAACCACACACACATTGCCAGATAACTCATGGTCTTATAGAATGCAAGTAGCAATCGAATACAGGGCCTGGCAAGGCAGGGGCACTATTTTAATGTGAGAAAAACACACCAGTGGTACTAATGAAGAATAGCGCACTTCAAAAGCAACATTGAAATATTGCCTTGTTTGATACAATGAATTCTCAACCCCCCCCCCCAGCCCCCTCCTCTCATTTGCAACTCCTTTCTATTGGCTCCTTTCTTTTTCCAGCCACGTTAATGCAAGGAATCGATTTCCCATACCAAGCAACAATCTCGTTTAAAAAGGACGAAATCCTAGCCTTGCCTTCTCTCCTCATCCTCTTTCCACACCGTGGGGGGGGGGGGGGGGGGTTGATACAGCGACAACCGAATGCCCCCTTCTACTTATTTTAAAGATGAACTTCAAGTGCAATTGCGCAGTCAACCATGCAAATCCGAGTTCCTGATTCTTGCACAACAATTAGTTTCCCAATGCCCGACAGAAGTCTTTTAAATAAAGATCAACACCAGCAGTATGTGCGTACTTGGCCATAAATTTCAGTAATGGCTTTGGTTCAAGCCTAGATGAAGGAAAAACAACATGACATTTCCCTCTAGTATGGCCTCTGTCCCCATTGGGGTAGGAAGCTTCTATCAAATATATTGGACGTAACTATTATTGATCAATTTGTCTATTAATAGAAAAACTTATGGAGCTTGTTTACTTCACTGCATCGGAAACCCGAACTGAGCTCAAACATCCATAAACTGCGCGATTTCTTCTATTTAATGATTTCGACATTATTTCCCCCTATAATTGTACTTTTGGCCCGTTTGTAGCTTTTCAGATCGCAATGAAGGTTCTTTGGACCCTAAATGATCTAGGGTGTGCGATAGACTTACCTCCACGTGGGCAACGTATACTCATACGGCAAAAAATTCTATAAACCGGCATTTGACTTCTGACTTCAAACGACCATGACCCCAGTGTATGTCATATTCGACCACTTCCACAGTACTCGTTTTACCTTTTCTCTACCTTTGCGTCTGTCTCTTTTACATCTTTAAATCACTCTTCCGTTCCCCCTCTCGACATTTTTCACTTTGATGTTCCTCCTCCTCTCTGTGAAGCCTGAAGTCAACTAAAGGGCTAATGATAACCTTCAAGAGGCCTGCCATTTGATATAAATAAACCCTAACTGATCTTGTGCGACCCCCATCCAAGACTCCACCCCATCTCCCGGGAGGGAAAACCGAGATATTGGACTTGCATAAATCATAAAAGGGACGCCTAAAGATTTCGAGGACGAAATTTTCGAATCCCCATTCTCCCCCCCCCTCCCCCCCCCCCCCCCC